AGGAAAGGATAACGCGATAACGGACGCCCTCTCGCGTTAATAATAAGATAAGCCCTAAGATATAATAGACGAATAGGAGTAATTTTATTATATTTAATTAATTCCTAATATCGCGATTCTACTTAGCGTTCGCTATACTAATAACGGTTAATCAATCTTCGAGGCGGACTAAAAGCTATGGCGACTATAGGATAGAACGCTTACGACTAACGAATAATATTAAGGAGCCTTATCTACGGTTACCGAAAAAGAATAATAGTTCTTACTATTATTAGAATTAAAGCTATAAATAGCCGAGTACTTAGTCTTTACGATTAGGTTACTACTATTCCGCCACCGAATTTAGGTTCCCGGGTCTATTAAAGGGTCGATATTATAAGGAAGGATTATCTAGTTAATTCACGATTTAGTAACTAAAGGATACCTTAAATACGAAAACACTATTACCTTAATAGCGCGTCGCTTCTTCTAGCTAAGGATAAATAAGGATATCCGATAATTTATCCAGAACTATAACGTCTACGGAAAGGGGTATATATAGAGAAATACAAAATAAGGCCTTTTACGCCCCCTCCCGGTACTAGAACAAATACGGAGCGACCTATTAATAGATTTTATAATAGACTTACTATTAGCCGGTAAGAAGGTGCGCTACCTTTAGGTTATTATAGACCGTCTAACTAAGGCTATAATATTAGAAGCGATAAAGATAATAAAAGCCGAAGCTTATACGGAATAATTCTTATACTATTATTTCCGGTTTTACGGAATACCTAAGTCGATTATTAATAACTAAGGCTTAAACTAAATAAGTAGGTTTTTGAAGTATTTTTATAAGCTTATAAGGATATCGCGTAAGCTTAATATAGTATACTACCCCTAGACTGATAAAGTAATAAAGCGTATAAGCTAAGAAGTATAAGCTTATTCATAAGCCTTTATCTATTACGCTTAGGATAACTAGGATCGCCTATTACCCGTAGTATAACTAGCCCTAAATAACCGCGAGAGCTCCGTAACGGGGCTTAGTCCTTTCTTCTTAGAATATAGCTATTACGTTAATCCGATTTAGATAACCGAGGAGCCCTTTTCGAAACCTAGAGTATTAGCGGCCTATAACCTACTACGCCGTTTTTAGGAAATAACCGAGTTCGCTTAGGCTATAATTATATCGATATAGCTTAGAAATAAAGAGTCTATTAACTAATATTATATACTAGCTAAGCGTTTTAAGGTTAACGACTTAGTCTAGCTATTATTAGCTAACTATTCGACTCCGCGACTATTATAAAAGCTTAACTAGCTTTATTATAAATACCGAGTTATAAAAGTAATTAGCCTATATATAGTTAAGCTCGCCGTGCTATTATAGATCTACCCTTAATTCTACGTGGACTTATTATATCGCGCGGGCGATAACCCCCTTTTAGGATAGGTAGTAAACGACCCTTAACCACCGCCTATTCGAGAAATAACTAATAGTAAAGAATAGAAAGTCGAGGAAATCCTTTATATAAGGATAAAAAAGCAATGTAGGGGATTAAGACGTAAAGTACTAGTATAATAGGTAGGATACTATAAGCCGATATAGGAACCTCTAGAACTATTAGCGTAAACGCGGGTACTCGATAAGTTTAAAGGGAAATTCGGCTTAATAATAATAAATAATAGCCTATTAGATACCTTCGCGCTATCACAATATAGGAACTAATATATAAGTAATCGTATCGTGATAATTAAAAAGAAGTAAAAGTCGGATTTAGTTTAGGCCGGATAAGCCCCGCGTCTTAGCTACGCTTAATATAAGCCTAGATTAATATCCTCGGCCTTAAAATCGTTATCCTTAGGATTATCGACTTCTATAAAAGTCTTACCCTTATCGCCCCGTTATAGATTAGAGTCTATCTCCTTAACCTTATTGTTATTTTCGTTATCGCCGTTATCGGGGATTATAATTATACTAGCGATAATCGTATTTATAGGCGTGAAAGCCTATTTACGCTCCGCGTATTCTTAGAGTTCGGAGATTATAATATTAGCGTAAATAAGTATAAGTATCTCCCTAAATAACCGAGTATACTCCTTTAGCTCTATAAGACTAAGGCGTCTAAAGTCTTTATCCGATAACGTTAACCCCGATAAGGGAGTAGGAGTAATAGGATAGGTATTCTTTTCCGCTACGATATTAGGAGGGACCGGGCTTAAAATTACTATCTTACCTATAACCTTATAAAAAGAAGATAAGGCTAGCTATTCCGCCCTAATAACGACCTCCTCTAAAGGCGATATATCTAGTCCTAACGCTATCTTTTCTACAGCCTTTAAGGGAGGAGAAGTGACTAATATAGCTACCTCGCTAATAACCTCTATTACTGGAGGAAATAAGGCTAGTTTAGCTACCTTATTAATAACCTTAGGAAAAGCTAGTAAGGCTAACTATGGTACTACCGCTTTTGAGACCTCCTAAGGAGGAGAAAGGGCTAGCACGATTATTATACTAGGAGCCTCCGCGGGATATATAGCTATAGGTAATATCGCTATTATCGTTTCCTTAGCTATAAAGGTATCCTAGAACGCCGCGTAGGCATTAAGATACGGTTCTTACTCCTAGAAGAAGAGTTAGCGATACTATCGCGACCTCTTAAGGGGAGGAAATCTTATAGGGGCGTTCTTATTATCGTCGCTAATAAGGGTAGCCGTCTTAAATAACCTTTACGCGTAGCCTTTAAGGTACGCTAGGAGAGGAGTATACCGGTATATCTTTATAGAGTATATATAGTATTTCTTTCCCCGATTAGTCTAGCTATAATAAAGGCGCTTATACTTTCTATTAGTAACGTCGCGCGTATAAGGGAGGTACGGCTTAGTATAAATACTACTAGGAGGGTATTTAGGAGGCCGACTCCCCGCCGATTTCTTCTTTTTAGGCGGTAATAAGGGCGATAACGCGAACTATTATACGGTTAGTATCGCCTTAAGATATAAGAGCGTTATACCTATATCGTTATCGGCGGCACGCTTATTATTATTATTACCCCTATTATCGCCGGGGGCTAGCGCTATCTATAAAAATAATATACGTTAGCGAAGGGTTCTTAATAAAAAGATCGCCAGTAAGAGACGGCTTACCTTAAACGGGGAACTCTTAAATTAACCGAGTATTACTCCTATTATCTAAGGATAAGGGATATTAGAGGAATTATCGCTATAAGGAAGAATAAGTATATACGTAACCACTATTACTATTATTATTATTATTAAAGGTAAGGAGGGGAATAGAGGAAGAGAGGGCCTATAAAGAAAACGGGGCCAATATATCTACGGATAGTATTTACGCGACGGTAGCCTATATTACTATTTCGGTCACGTAAATAAAGGTTAGCAGGCTACCTAAGATTTCTTTAATATTAAGGTAAGGGCGAGGTAAGATAAAGAGACACGACTATTCCTTTATTACCGTGATATAAGGGGGAGCTAAACTATAACGGTGACGCGCGGTTATATAACCCCCGGAGGGAAAAGAGGGGGATAGTATTATAGGTTAACCCCGATATAGAGGATCCGGCTATACTCCGGATCTTCCTAACTACGCGCTTAGTTAACGGACCTATATCGCTAAGTTATCGCTATCTTATAGCTAGCCTAGCGCTATAGACTTTTATCCTTTTTCCTTCTTCCTTCCTTAGTTCTAGAAAATCCATTATTATAACCTTACTTAGTGCCACGACCTATAACTAGTCGTTTATAAGGATAGACTTAGCTTATCCAACTACCCTATATAGTTCTCTCGGTAATATAACTATACTAAGCTCCGCATAGGATAAAGGATAGGTCTGTATACTATACTACTAATTAACGTTAGGGCTAACGGCTATAAGCCACGGTCTTCCTAGGATTATCTTCGCGCTCGTAAGATTTATAACGTGGAACTCGGCGCGTTATACCCTCTTTTAACCCTAATAGTTTATCGCGACGATAATCCTATAAGTGGACCCGAGAGTTATCTTTATTTATCCTTCCGTAATCCAGGATACCGGGACCGGGGACCCCTCGGGAACCTAACTAGGTGTTACGGCCAACGGGCCCAAATATATAATAGCACGAAGGATGCACTAGTATATAATGTACCAGGACGTAACTAGAAGAGAATTCAGGGAAGAGGGATCACGTGTCTTGACACGTGACTATGCTAAGACGGATATACTAGTATGTAGGGGGTTATAAAGTGTTCACGGGAGGGACGGTGAATAGGTTAGGACGTTTACCAGGGTACTAGTAAATAATATAACTCTATTCACCCGAGGCTTAGTAAACTACACTATATATATATTAGAGTATTCTAGGCCTTACTTCTACTAAAGAATAAGGTATCGATTAATCTAAGTCTTCACCTAGACTATTATTCTACGCTTAAAGCTACCTTATGAAGAAGATGCCTAGTCTTTACGACGTAACTACGACTAGATTACTAGGAACGATAGTTACTGCTCTTTAGTTAACATCCTCTTCTTATTTTAAACTAAAACCTCGACGCCAGTCCTCTATCGTCCGCTATACTATAGAGGACCGGAAGCCGTCGTAACACTAGGTCCTAGGAGGGACTAATCTAAAATATTAATATCGGCGCCCCTATTAAGGAGAGCCGCTATCTATACCTATTCCCTACCTCGGTAAAGGGATACGCGTGCCTTTACCAGCATAGTAGTAGGGGTAGTCTAAGGCGGGTGTGGTCCTAGGGCACCTCGCCTATAACACGGCCGACTATAGGGTAAGAGGTGGATACCGGTTAGGTATTCGGGTTACTATTACTTAAGCGTCGCTCGGAACGGGGGCTAGGGTATATAGTAGCATAGTGCCCCTTTTAGTTATAGTTATAGTAAGTGATAGAATCGAGGTATAACGACGGTCTAGGGCGTATAGGGTAACTAGGAGTAAAGGCTAATATAGGCGTAGGGGCAGACGTAGAAATAAGGGCAGAAATAGGGGTATAAGGAGGGCTACTAGTAGAACTATAGGTGGCCAGAGCGTGGGGATTATAACTATAGGTACGCGAGCGGAGACAACGTTATTAGGTAGCGGACTAGAAGTCTATCCGGCCGATAGCTAAACCGTTAGTAATAGTTAAGGCCTTAGTCCTATGATAGGCCGGGGTTAGGTCCTAATAGTCCTTAGGAACCCCTATAGACACTATATTGTCCTGAATTGGTGGGAGGACCCTTATTAGTACCATCTAAATCCTCTACTAGTCCGGGAGCTCTCTCGGTAATTCTGACTCTAGGGCTTCCTACTATTATATAAACTTAGCGTAGGACTCTCCCTCTTTTTAGGATAAGATAGCCTCGTTTTAGATCTATACCATTATTTCTCGTAGGCGGGTATTATTATCGTTAACCTGGCAGGATAACCAGGCTTATAGGGCGGCCTAGCTAACTTTTATTATTTACAATTAGGGTTACTCTTTAAGTATTAAAGAATATCTTATACCTAGTTATTTACTATACTAGTTAAATATAAATTAAACCTATTCTATAGCTTTTTATTTATAATTCCTTTTATTACTTAGTATATAACTTAGTTACTTATTAGTTAATTTTATATTATACCTTTATTACTTCTATAAACTAAACTAGTCTACTTTTTATTTTAATTATTATCGATATAGGCTTACCTATTATACTTAAGTACTAAATACTTCCTTATATATATATATATATATATATACTTTTTAAGTATTATTTTATAAAATATATACTATATTTATACTTCAGTTAATAAAAGTCTAAATACTTTTAATCCGTGTATAAATAGCTTTATAAACTAAATTATAAAACCTATTCGCCTCTATTAATCTAATTCTATAAAGCCCTAGCCCTAGCCTATAGCTCCTTAAATTTCTTTATAGCACTATATATACTTATAGTAGTATTCCGTATCCCTCCTACTAACTATAACTATATAATCGTAAAACGTAAATTAGGTTATAACTATATAGCTATATAACGTAGGTTATGTTATAATCTTTTAGCCCTTACCCATATACTAGAACGTTTTCGAATTAATTCGGGATCTATTTAGGATATATTTAGGATCTATTCGAAGAATAGATACGTACCTATTACCACGCGAAGTAGTATAATATAGTAGTACGCCGCTAGACAATACGCTCCGGAAAGAATAGATATTATTATTATTATTAAAGTCGGAGCTAGGAAACAGGCTTTTAGTACGCTACCGCCGCTAGCTACGTATACTATTACCGCCGTTACTATCACTATTAGGAAAGTCGTCCTCTTAAGCGGTAACGCGTTATCGTTTCTGCTTTATTAGATATTAGTATGTAAAACTATAGTTTAGTAAGGTATATAAAAAGCACTCACGACTTTAGCGAAGAGTATTTTAATACCGGCTAGCTAGTATAGTATCGCGGTATAATAGCTATGCTTATCTAGTCCGAATAATATAAGCCTAGTCGTATTAGTTCTGATTATACTAGCTATATCCTATAATAACCTAGAAAAGCGGAACGTATCGCCTAGTCTACTTATAGGAATACTTATATAGAATCTTAATAATATTCGTATCGCTATATAGTTTATCCTAGTTTTCGGGAGGAATAAAGGAGGTAAGGTGATATAAAGTAGAACGGATAATAGGGCGTCTCTTATACCGTGCCTAGCCCTTAAGTGTACACTTATTTATTATAATTAGATCGCAAAGTTTATTATACTAATCGATACTTATAATATATAGTAACGATATTATTCGAGTATACTTCGAGTATTACCCTTAATTATAACCTATAAGCCGCTTATAACCTCGCCGAAAATATACTCCGTAAAGACGGATATAGCGTAATAAGTGCCAATCTTAGTCCCGGTATAGTTCTATGTCCGTATCTATTTATAGGTAAGTAGTAAGTCCTATTATTATCTCTAAATTAGCGATTTAAATTAGGATTAATTGAGGATTAATTCAGGATTAATTTAGGATATATATACCTCGTATATTCTAGTAGTCTTAGTCTATAGTCGTTCTAACTAAGCCCTCTTTATAGATATATTACTACTTAACCTCTAGATTATACCGGTCTCGAAATATACTAAACACGGTTCGGTATATATATATGTATATATTTACGGTTTCACGATTTATAAAGACACGGATAAGTAGAATAGCTATAATTGCGATTAGTAATATATAGAAAAGGTAAAGAATTAGTACCTTTTAACGCCTATCTACTATACTATCCCTAAACTACCTTAATATAGCCTATAGTCTAAAGATACTTATAATTAGTATTAAGTAGAAAATAGTTTATAGAAGACTGCCTTTACTCGTTAACCTATAATAGAAATAAATAACTATCTAACTACTCCCGGATTCGTAGATATACTAGATATACTTCCGAAAGTGAGTATTTACTTTCCGTTATATATTAGAAATAAACACTCACGTTATTATTTTTATACCAGTATCTATTATAAAGGTACTATATAGAAAGTAATATAAAGGCGTATAGGTAAAGGCTCGCGTGCTCTTTTTGGATAATTTCCCTTAAAACGTCCTTATTTACTAGGCTTATATAAATATCAGTAATAGAATATCCCTAATACTAATAAATACAATAAGCTAATATATCCGATTAAAGGAAAGAGTCTAAAACGATTAGTATATACTTTACTACTTATAAAAGTCAGGTTAGACTTACTTATCGTTATATATAGTTTACTAATTTCTCTTATAATACTATAAAGACCTTATATAATAGATAGGGGTACTTCTTTAGGCGGGGGCGGAATATAACTATATATTTTATAGGAAGCTATAATAATCTATAGGATCTAGTTTAGGTTTACTAGTATAAGGAAGGTTAATTTAAATTATATACTACCCTTTTAATATCGGGTTACTTAGGATAGTAGACTATATCTATTACTAATTAGCTATCGAATTAATCTAGATTAAATCCTAATTAAATTCTAATTAGGTTCTATAAATAACTTATTATATCTTTTTCTCCTCCTTTTATTATTCGTGAATAAATAAAACTCGTATCCGCTATCTAATTCTTATACTAAGACGATATCTTAAATAAGTCTTATAATAAGGTTATAGTAGTTACTATAACTAAGTAGGATAATCGTTAAGAAATACTTTAGTTTTATCTAGTAGTAATTAGTATAGCGAATAAAAACCTAACGAATATTCCTAGGGATAATTATATACGTGTTTTTAGTTATTAATAATCTATATATAGTGGTCCCTCCTTTATAGGCTTACTTTTTATTTAAAACGCCTTAGGATTATAATAGCATAGCTAATAGCTACCTTCCTAGGAGTAAGGTCTTTAACTCGGGTATCGATAGCAGAAATCGACTCTACTAGCTTTTCTATAATTCTATCATAGCCGACTCTAAGTTCTAGAGTAAGATACGGATATATAATACCACCGGTATAAAGGAATATATACCGTGTAATAATAGCTCCGGAGAACGCTATACTCATGACTACTTTACCCGGGAATACTCGCTTAAGATAATACTAAATATTTTTCTAAGGCGATTTAATATCTTCGGAATTAAGAGATATAATTAGAATAATATATATAACCCTATTAGTCGTGGTTTAAGGGACTTAGGGGATTATAGTAGCGAATAATAATATAGTAGCGTAAAGTGTGTTTTTAAGAACTCCGTGGCGGTTATTCTAATTAGGATTAGCGGAGAGAAAAAGCCCGATTTTATCGGTATTTTATTACTAAATAAAAAAATAATAAGTTAGTAAGTTACTACTATTCTTTTAAATAAAGGTTAAAGGCTTTATATTACTCTATCCTATATATACCCCTTATATTATGAAGATTACTTCTTTTCCAGGTTCGGCTCTTTAATATTATTACCCCCTCCTAAAGCGTTATCGATTATTAAAAGCCCTAGAAAACTATTATTATTACTATAATCCCTTTTAGGAAACGGACTAGTATTACTACCGTTAAGAGGTAGATTAGTATTATTACTATTAAGAGGTAGATTAGTATTATTAAATAGCAGATTCGGCGGGGGATTTAGGGTTAAATTCAGAAAATCCGTAAAAGTATTTAGATTAAAGTTAATAAGGTCGGAATTAAATCCGAATAAGAGATCTATCTTCGCGTTTAGTTAATTATTCTACTCTTAGAATTAAATCCTACTATATATAGGATTAATTCAGGATAAATTCGGGAAGTATCTAATTTTTTTTATACGAGTATATCGAACAGACCACAGTCTTTTCGGTTACATAATAGGCCGGATTGCCAAGAGTATAATCCGGGTGGACGCTTACAGAATCTGCACTATATAAAATACGGTGGCAGCGTTTCCCTGACGGTCGGAGACAGTTATAATTGTATATAATTGCCTTAATTAATTTTAACCTATTTTATAACGATTTTAACTACGCTTTATCTGACAAATACGAGTAAGCGTTAACGCCTACCCTTTATTACTCTCCTATCCCGTAGACCTCGCCCGACTATTATTATTAGCTTAGCGAGTAATAATCGGGTAAGGCGTAGAGGCTATAGTAATAGTTAGGTCAGATAAACTTTACGCTAGCAGGGGGGAAATAGTTAGGTTAGCAGGGGGGGTAATAGTTAGTTGAATTATAGTCTCTAAAAAAAGTGGAAAATCTTTAATAAGTTGTTGAAATTGTTGAACGGGGGGGGGGGGGCTTAATTTCTTTATGTTTGATTGTCTTACCAGCATTTCCTCATAGCCGCCGGGACCTCTGGCATGCGTCCCAACATGTCTCACCGTCACTCGACCTACCACCCTTGCACATTGAGAACAAAAGAATGAACGGACGGACGAAAGATTGAACAAAGTCATGCTCTAGTTTTCAATTCAACTGTATGCACATCCAAACAAGCCAATCACAACTGTGTTGTCCACCAAATCCCGTTGAGGGAGGGCAGAGAAACAATGTGTTTGAGGGTATCCACCATGGCAGGACACCCCTCTATTCCTCCGACGCCATGATGCAAGAACCAGTATCAGCAGGGCTTCCTGGACCGCACCCGAACCAAATTTCATAACAGATACTCCCGTTAACCTCCCAACTCGTAGAACTCGTTGCCATCCCGTTCCGTTGCCATCCCGCCTGCTCGAAAACGAAAAGAGCGAGGGCAGGCCATCATTGATTAAATGAGAATATGAGAAAATGTTCGCCGGTGTCTGAAGAGAAGATGAAGAAAAGGCGCCTGATATAGTACAGCGACGAGGAGAGCCGGTAGCCGGAGGAGGGAGCCAGTCAAGAGGTGACCCGATGATAGCAGAATGAATGTTGTCATTTGTGTAGCCTGTGTAGTCTGAGCCGTTTGGGAACTGAACCCCCTGCTCAAGCGTATTGAGAATCTGGAAGGGGGTTGCGAAGCTCTCGACTGTTGACCAGCTAGCCGGCCCTGCCGGCTTGCTGTGTTGCTGCTGTAGTGTGGAAAGGCAAGAGTGCGGTGTGGGTAGGATCGCTGCCGAGGTGCGGATTCGAAGGGGCAAGCGTCTTGATGCTGCATCGCCAACTCGCAGGGAGAGGCAAGGCGAGGTAAGGCGCTTGAGTGGTGTGTACGGTTAAACCCTAGCATGCGGAAAGAGAGAAGTGCTGCTCAAGAGAGACAAAAGTGCCGCGCATCGCTCAGGTGGTTGCGTATAACGGAGTGGAGCAGTCGGGAACTTTTTTTGCAAGTTGCGTTCCCTAGGGGAGTGCTGCGCTGTAGAATGTAACAGGCGGCATTAGGAGTCGTAATGGTTCGCCGAGACCAAGATGGAGCGCGAATGCCAGAGAGGATGTTTCGTCAAAGCCTTAGATCATGTTCCTAAACCCTCTTCGGAGTGGGAGGTAGAGGCCGGCTGGGGGGAGGGCCGGGGCAGGGAGGCAGCTGGGAGGGGCGCTGGGCGGGCATCTCGTCGAAATTGGTTGTGGAAGCCATTGAGTAGTTATATGTGGATGTTGGTTTCTTGGTTGGAGGTCTACAGCAAGAGAAAGCTTAAGACTTCGTGTTGTAGTTGTTGCTGGTGGTTGAGGTCTGGTCGAGCTTGGAGACTTTTGAGTCGTCTTTTCAGATGTTGTCTTGACAGCGTGTAGCGAGATATTGTGAACCGGTTGGTATGGTCGGGAAGAGTCAGGAAGCTTATGGAGGAATAAGGGACACATGAGGCAAAAGCAGGGTTCGGGGAAGAGAAAGGGATGGGCCTTTATGTATTCACGGAACTGACCATGATGACCGAGGAGACTCGAGCAGCTTTGCTATTTCGGTGCCCCGTTCTCATACACACCGTAATTACTTCGTACATCATACGCCCCACCCTCCACACCCTCCTCTTCTTCTTTTCCTTCTTTCCCCTTGTACGAAGCAAGTTGCAACGTATGTACAGCGTACGGGAACCCCTATGTACTTCCCAGCTGGGCCAGGGTCATTCATTCGGCCGATCAGGCTTTAGGGCATTATGTACAGGGAATTGCTCTGGAGACTCGGTACTGAAGGTACTTTAGCCGTGAGTACTCCGTACTCGAAAAGGAAAATTCTGGTACTTCGACAGACCCAAGCCTTGGCCGCAACTAAAGCGGTCCGGTGCCAAGGTTAGGCCAAGAGCAACGTCACTGGACTACCACACTTCCATATTAGGAGTTGTTAGCAATCGTCATGCAAAGTGTCGGAACTGGTCTACGCGTATGCAAGTCTCTATTACATTAGGTGTCTATTTACTGTTACTTTTTCTTTATCCTCTTCGATTTGGTTTATTTACTACTAAACAAAAGACCAACATAAGGTCATGTGTAGAAGTGTTCTTCGTGCTTAGATGATCAGACATACAAAATGCTTCATATGATAGGAAATCAGGCTTGGCAGGGCATGTGTCCCTCCGGTGGATCGGTCAGTGGACGCCAAGGGGTGATAATTTCGCTAATACCGTAATGTACGGAGTACCTAGATACTCCCTCGTGTTGTACCTTTTCTCCAGACAGTGACGCAAAGTTGACCGATGCAAGCAGCGAAATGAAACAATGCCTTGGTAGGTACGCCCCACTTGGGTTGACCGTGCCCCTGTCGATACAGTAACATGTGGCTTTTTGCCTCCCTGTCGCAACAACAGCCCGTGCTCTGACCCCAATTTTTTTTTATTATTTTTTTTTTTCTTCTTTTGGTTGTTCGAAGTAATTCCTCAGAGGTACCGGTACATACATCAACCCCTCTTTCGTGCCTGATTCCCCGACTCATCGAAATACCGACCAGCTGGAAGAATGGGACCTGGATGCTGCAGCCTGGCATGGGTGCGGTGGGGGTTTGTGGGCGATCATGTGTTCTCTTTTGCACCCACACAAACGCATTTTCATTTTGCTCCCTTCCGTGTTTGTACAGGTGCAGGTTGCAGTTGCAGGTGCAGACGCACCGGGAAGAGCTGGAAATTAAACCGCCTCGTACGTTGTACGCACCTATGTCGTTGGAGCCGCTCTTTCCGCATGACAGCTTCTCGTGCTGTGCTCCCTACGTTGTACATCATACGGATTCAGATTCCATATCTTATAGACAGCCACCAGATAAGACATCGTCAATGGTAGATTCGAAATTGGAGGAGCGGCAGACTCCGAGTTCCCAGGTGTGCACTACCTGCTCCGTACTCTAGACAAAACCTTCCCAGTTATTTCGTCGATTTATTACGAGGTTTTAATTTCAGAGGAAATTTGAACTTTGTGTCACGTGGCTAGGTCCATCCTCGGAGATGAGATCGACATGACCCTTAAAGGTACCTTTAATTATCGCTTTGATTATCCTCTCCACGCAGACAGACCGCTCAACCTTACTCGCTAAAATCATCTTTTCAAATTTTATTAGTCCCATCCTTCTCGCAATCGCCGGAATGGTTCTTCATCGTCGTATGATAAACAGTGCCCCATTTGGGGATTGGGGGAAAAGAGAATTTTTCTGTGCCAAACGCCTGACAAGATGGGTCTGATCGGTCACTTTAATCCCAACAACTCAACAATCAACCCAACTTGTTCTTTTGTTCCCGGTAGATCAACCGGCCGTGATCACGGGGCATTGTCCTTTGCTGTTGTCCGATGCTCCACATCCGTTTTACCACACACGCAAGTAGTACGAATGTTGTTGTCTGACCGCCATAATGAGTCCTCGAATCTCCGTGGAGTTCATACTTTGCAACAAATCGCAAAACAACTCGTCTACAGCCGTATGACTCAATACTCTGGTAGATTTGCGGTGAGCGGTTAATCGTGTACTTCGTAAATACCATTTCGAATCCTTGCATCCTCACGTCAGGCAGCCATCAACGACCCCACAAGGGTCTTCCACTTACAACGCACCTAGTGAGTTTTGGCTGATCGACACCGATGTCAGGGCATGGGGACACAAGGGCAAAATCATGAAACAAGGCAATTCTGTAGGTATCCATAAATCAAACCCAATACTACCTACGAGTAGGAAGTTGGGAAAGGCATCCGCAACAACGGAGGCCTCGTGTGTTTGTATCCGTACTGTAGCTACAACGTACCTATGGGCTCAATCAACATCGCGGTATGAGGCATCCAAGACGGCTCCGACATGCGTTCCCGGCTTTCCGAACCTCAGCCCTCACCAGAACATCCTGTCAGCAATAACCCATGGCGAAAAAGAAATTCAAGTACATATGTGCGTGCAGTGGACGGAAACCCGTCCCATGCAGCCCTACCAATCCTACGGACCGTGCAAATATGCACAGGCAATCCTGAGAGCGGCTGTGTACATACAACGCGTAGGGCGCAGCAACGTGGTTGCCCGATCCGCCCCGGCCGAATAGGCGCCCGAGATACCTATGCCTTCATTTGTTCTTAGTCTTTGTCAATATTGGAGCTGACACTGCTAGGCCTGGCTTGCTGACCAGTAATACGGCAAACCCCGGCGGTCTCGCGATCAAACAACGTTGTTCCACCGAAATAAGGACTCAGAGTGACTCATCTCACTATTCCAGGGTGACTTGGCTTCTTCGCGGCCAAGAGAGCCCTACTCTCGGGCGCTGATGCAACCTGTGGGAGGCCAAGGCAACCCCAACACGGCAAAGCGACTCGCATGTTTGCGAACCGATCGGGCCCATCGGCTCTTGTATTGCACTCGTCCGTCCCTCTTTTGTATGTATCCCGGAGATTCCTGATTGTTGACCAGGCCGTGGGTCCGTCCCGTCCTATGTTCGAGGTGTCGTACCGGTACTTCAGGCGTGCGAAGGCTTCCAGAAGGAGTGGGGACCATCGCCAAAACCCTTCCGTTTCACGTTGTGCCCCCACTCTATCCCGTTCATGCTACGGAGTACATACAATAGTTGCTTCGTTAGCACGATGTCCGCGTGTCCGCAGCACACACCACCCGGAGTTTAAAATCTCTAGCAGAGTATAGCGCAGTATGTACGGATATGATGCGATGAGGCTCACAGGCAGCTCCCTGCCAGAATCTAGCGGTCAAGGCTGGGGAAATTTGACAGAAATTAGCCCAGTAGTTCACCCCACGATTGTTAATAAAGTTGGATAAATTTTATTGGCAATTCAACTTTCCCCTTTAATATCGGTCGTGCCGAGACGTTTGCTATTTCTCCGCCCTGATTGGTTATTCAATTTCTTGAATATTCGCGAATAGTTTTCTACTCCTTTTCTTTCCGAGACGCGAACGTCTTGGAACCCCGGTCCGTGGCCGTTCGTAAAATGAAACGAGCACCCCTTTGCCAAACAAAAAAAATTCTTTCGCTTCGTACTTTGTATACCCGACTCCGAATGCCGACAAGTTTTCGTTCGAACAATGTGGCGTCTGGGGCTGAAGCCGAGTTCTGCGTAAAAGAATATTTCTCGATAGCAAACGCTCGGATCGAACTGCCGAAACCGAGCGTCGTCTCGTCCCTAGCCCCCTTACTGTTCTCGGGAATGAAGTTTCACGTGTCCTGTGACCTGCTACACCGCACTGCCAAGATGGGAGCGACACTTCATCACAAAGTAGCGGTATCAAAGAACTGGAGGTGCTCCGTGTAGAGTGGGTTTGGTCAAAACACGTGGTCCTGTTGCCCTTGAACGATTGCTGTTACCGAAACTCACCGTCATTTCCCTATGCCTGACAGCTGTCGTCATAGGCTTTTATTTCTATACTTGGCAACAGACTCCTGGTCATTTCTGACCATTTACGAGGTTCCTAGTCCCTAGGACTGAAAGGCAAGGATGACCGATAGGACGAGGCAGGCGTCCTGATTGACCCGACACTCTGGCACGGGTAAAATAAAAGAAATTTGCCATTCCGAGGGACTGAAGGAGTGCGATGCCTATCGCTCCGACGATGCTTGGGGGTTTTTTTTTTTTTTTTACTCGGGACCCGGCACTCCATCCCACTTTGCCAACAATCTGCTTTTCATTATTACAGTGGGTGAGCAATAATTTCGGTATATTTTAAATATCCAGTGATTCGTTACTTTTATAATATAATATGGTTTTTGCCCTAATAGAAAAGTGTTCCCCAAAAGGTTCGAAGCATTCTACTTTGGGTTATCCCGAAACTTTTGCTCACTCACTGTACTGCCTACGCAGTTCTTCGTACATGTGTCAGCATAATCTATGGTGTACGTTTGGCGGTCTACGGTATTATGTACATGTACAGAACACAGAACCCGACAGTCAACGATTCAGACGAGCGAATAGGCTATCCATAGGCTTCGGAAGGATCAGCCGGCTTATCAAGTAGCTCTTATACACTGTACGATGTGAACCAATATGTCTTGGTGTTACAGGTCTGCCGAGCTTCGCAAGATTGGTTTGTATCTTTACTCTGTAATTAATGTGAAGTACAACGTACACTAAGGTACCCGTGGAAGACCCGTCACTGATAGGATATTCTTTGTCGGCCGGGCCTGGAGTATGATGACGTGATTGATATGTCAACTCCCGCCTTGGCCGATGGACGAAGCCCTCTCGTTTTCTCTCATTTCCCCCGCGTTTCTGGCAAAACCCGACTTCAAACAGCACGCGGGTATCAGCACACGGCTATTATCATATTATTTCACTTGGGTAATGTTTGGTTTCCACGAGCCAAATCTGTCAGAACACGCCCTTGATTAGATACAGCCCAGGATGTCGGCCAGGAAAACGATAAGACACTATTGCCATAACCATTGAGCGACAGATTGATCATCTTCACGGGAAGTTCGGAGACAATTCCCGACTATTGTGGTGTGCAGTGAACTATTGACCTCACCAATATATCACGTAAACACGTTAGCGACGAGGCCGAAGTCTGTCCGGTGGCCTAGTTTCGGTCTTTCCTTTTTTTTTATCTTTCTTTTTTTTCCTTCCCTTTTTCCCTTTATTTGCTCATTACCGTCTGTCCCCCCCACTACCGAGTCGTGGTCGCGTTACACGGCTGCGGCTCCCTCCGGACCCGAGGATGACCGTCCGTTTTGGCTCCCTCCTCTCCCAGCCAGCCACCGCGCAAGACAGAGGACGGAATCTTCTCCGTCTTTTCAGCCCGTCTTTCGCGGGTGGCTTGGATGGTGCGATAATTTCTGGACCGATTGTCTTATCATGGCATGCAGGAGGGCAATAGAATTACCCAGTCAGAGATATCATAAAGTCACGCCCGCAAACATCCCTACGGTGACGTGCTGCATATTTGGGTGGTGTGGTAGGGGCATGCTGTGCGGCACCCTGTACAGGTACTTCCAAGGACGCGTTCAATATAAGGTACCGGTTCTCTCCGTTAATAACCATTCACGTCGAACAGTCTGTCCACACATCAACACCACAAATCCGTTCGCAGCAAAAAGGAATTCATCCGGAATCGAAAAGGAAGGCTTGGTTAACCAATGATGGCGCATGGAGTCGTTTAAAACGTGCTGACGGCTGACAGGCACGTCGCTGTCCAAACACAGCCCATGAGCCCATGATATCCTTCAGCCACCATTGGACCCAGCGCCCCGGTCGTGCCCACCCTGTTCTCCGCCCACTCACAGTCTCCACTGCCTTTTTTCGTTGGACAGGCCTTACGTACTTTTCCACGTGGAAACCAGGGGAAAGCTCTGATGACGAATCGTCCACACAACCAGTCAGCCCGCTACTGGCCACACCCCCTGAAGATCGAGGCTAGTGGCTGGCTGTGGCTTTGCCGGAAGAGGAGATGAAGCCACGGAAACGGAAATGTGTGGTTCGAAGGATTGGCCGGAGTGGCTGGGCTGGTCTGGTCCTCAGTGACTTGATTCGGTGCCACACCTTTTTACGTGTAGGACGAAATAGGACGAACGAGTCGGAGCACCCGCTCACCCGCTCACCCGATCACTCAAACTCCTTTCTTTTTCTTCTTTTCTCTCTTCCCACCAAGATGAAACATGCCGAATACTCATCACTGGAATATCTCCTTCGTACAGAGTACATGGCAGGGGATATAGTACATAAGTACTTGGACACGGGTCGGCCGTGTCTTAAGTCGATGAACGACACGGATAGGTCCTTTGGGATGCTGCCATAATCCGAAAGCTCGGACGAATCAACTACCTTTCGTACACACATCACAGGCACTGTTGAGATTCTCTGTATAAAACTGTCTCGTCAACGACCCTTGATGCGAAGTCGAACGAAATGCACGTTATCGGAAGAAAACGGCCGCATAGCTACCATATTGGCACCCTGTTAAGCGATCGGAGAATGAAAGCCGTGGAAAGCTATGGACAGACGGGCTTGATGGGAACATCATACAAAGGTCGCCGGGGTTTGATGCATGACATCGGAGTGATCGGAGAATCTCTTGGTCCAGGTTCGTCCGACTGAGAGGGAAGCCAAGCCAGGCAACGTCCTCGGGCGACGGCAGGGTCCATGGCGCATTCCTGGGGGGGGGGGGGGCTATGTACGTTGTATGTAACACTCGATGAGACGATAATGTCGTAATAGCATCTTTATTACTCCACAAAGGCATTAATGGATTGGAAGTCGAGACGACCTCTCCATCACGGGTCTTCGCAAAAGTGCCCAATGAAATATACAACGTACACAGATGGCCTACAAGTACCATGGGACACCAATACCATCCATACCCCGACCTTATCTGTCCCTGGCTGCTACACGTGTATATCTCCCAACACTTGTTCTCTTTTCTCATTGGTCCCGGTAAATAACTAGATGACGTCTCAAATGGCGAGGAGAACCAAGGGTCAAAGGGGAACCCCCCCCCCCCCCCCCAATGGTCAAGCAAGAAACGCCGAAGCGGTGTTGAAAAACAAAGAACTTTAGCGTAGGACCGGTACTCGACGAACGCATAGAAAACGAGAACGGGACACGCCAAGAGTCGTTTTGCGGAGCGCGAAACGGGAGTAGCCTCGGGCTAGTGCGGCATCGCCAGAGTAATGTAGTGTAGAGTGCCCCCGCGACGGTCCTACCCGGGCCCGAGAAGCCAAGACATAGGAGGTCTGTGTTACGTTGTACGTTCATGCCAGTATTGCCCTCGGCCTTGTTGTTTTTTGTTTCGCCTGACGATACGGATGCAGGCAGGCAACACAAAAGAAGGAGGGGAGAATATGTCTGAAAGTTGACAAGGGCCCAGAAAAATACTGGATGAAAGTGGTGGTGCGTGCGTGCGTGTGCGTGTGTGCGTGCGTGTGTGCGTGCGTGTGTGTGTGTGACAGACGCCCGCGACGATGCGAGCGATTAATTGAAATGCGATATCAACATAACCAAGAAATGACAGGGCACGGGACAAAGGCGGCAAAGGCAATCGCCGTTGGTTGGTACTGGAACTTCCCACGAAGGTACTCCAGGGATTGAAGGTACTTGGGACTGGAAGTACGTTGTATCTTTCGGCCGCCCAGCCTCTAAATTGCTGAGCCTTGCACGATGGCGTGGGGATGCTTGACATTACGACGAGGAAACTACCTAAGGTACCTAGGAAACGTTGGGTAGGTCGGACGCTTTGCGAGGAGGCACGGTCAGTCAGCTAGCAACCCGACTCCCTCCCCTTCCCCTCCTACCAGAAACCGACGTATTATGGATAGCCTCATTCCCTTCCTCCCTGGCTTTCCCCCCCATCCTCCTCAAAGTCCGCGATGACATGGATGGACATGTGATCTGCTTATTCCACCACTCTGTGCCTCGCCCCTTGATTCCGCGGCTGGGTTAGACTTCGTATCCCTAGGCAGACACAAAGGGGGCTCTGTTCCAGGTATTACGTTTGTGATTACCTATCCCCTGTCTTGACCCTTGCCAGTCGAGATTATTGGTGACCCGAGACTTTGGCGACATTTGATCCTTCAGCCTTTTTACTCGGGGCCCCAGCGTCCCAGCAGCCCAGCCCCCCAGCCCCCCAGCGCTCCCAATCGACCGGATGCATCCTTTGTACACTTACATAGGACTACTTCACACATACCTACCTTACTGCATACGCTGTACAGCAACGCATTGAGGATCACTGGGAATGGACCAGGATGTGTCTACCGTGCCGCTTGCACCATCGTCAGCGGGGTTCGCGAGACAGAAACAGGAAGGAAGGGAGCGAAGCACATCCTGAGGTAGGGCACATGTGGAAAAGAAAGGCTGACGATAATATGCAACACAGGTCGAATTAGGACGGGTTTTCGGAGACCGTTGCACGAATTTGTCATGGACAATGGACCGAGGCATTGTTGTCTCTCCCTCTCTTCTCCCCTGTTCCCAGTCGTGGTCCTCTTGCCGGCCGCGAGGGTTCGTCGGACTTTGTTGTCACGGTATCACATCTCATATCATCACATCATTACCCCATTATACATAATGTACATGCGCTATTTTGTATAAAACATGCTGTTGATAATGTGATGACCGGGATGTCCAGGTACGGTTGGGCCACAAGTTCGCATTGGGATTAGGAATCGGGGTAATTACGGACATCTAGTCCCACGTAATTACGTAGGGGAGCCCCGAGATGCTGAGGTCCTGTGAGGTCCTGTGAGCTCCTTAGGTCCTGAGGTGCGAGGGGCCCCTGTCGGTCGTGTCAGGGATTCTGTCAGCTGACCCAGCCAAAGGGTAAGGAGCGGGAGGGGGGAAGGGGGGTGCGACGCGGATCGGGCACATCGCCAAGAGAGCGTTTTCCAAACGGGACGAGAAACAGTGATGGGGGACGACTGAACCGTGTGTCGAGTGCAGAATCCCGTCGTTCTCGCAGGAGCGTTGGGTTGGCGGAGGCACGTAATTACTTATCACCGCCGAACAGAGAAATACTTGCTTTCGCAGCTTAGAAGGCGGCGCGACGTAATACTCGCTCACTTTAGTCTCTCGGCGAGACGGTTGCGTTCATCCTTAGATAGCTTCTCCCACCCGTCAACGGGGAGCGAGTAACTACCGCCAGGGCGGCGATGCTTCTTCATGAACAGAAATGGCGCAAGCTGGAAAGGGCGTGTGTCGGCAATTTATCATTGTCACCCGCATTCACGACGGGGATTCGAATGTGAATCACAGGAGCCTCCGTGACATTACGATGCATCCTCCTCCGCTCCCGGGTTAGGCGCCTGGGTCGAGCTGATCCAGTTCTCCATCACCGCCTGTCCCGCAGGCTTGGCAGTAGTCCCGGCCGCCGCTGCACTTGCGGCACCTTTGCCAGTGGATCGGCTGCTACCGCTGGTGATGCCTGCGCCGTCTCTCTTTTTGACCACGAGGCAGAGCACTCGGCCGTATATGGCAAATCCCTCAAATGTGATATCCATGGCCAGTTTCTTCTTGTCATTCGTCTCGTCGTCGGCACCACCCGTTCCTGTGGCTTGTTTCCGCCGTCGCTTGGGAGGTGGGGGGCCCTCTTCATCGACGTCGGAGTCGATCTCGATGGTACTGGCGTTTGCGTCTCTATCCTCCTCAGCTTCGTCGTCTGATGATGCCCTGAACTCGTCCTCCTCGTCCTCGTCTATCGCAGTGTGGCGCCGCCTCTTAGGCCGCCCCGTCACCGCCTCTCTAGTTACAGGTGGTATGTTTTCTAATGCGGCAGCGGCTTCCTCATCGCTCTCCTCTCGCAAGACAATCGGCTCGGCCGCCGTGTTTCCGTCTGCATCTGGGTCACCAACGGGTGCCTCGCTGGCAATGTCCGTGAGCTTTTTCGAGTTGGTGGACTTCAGCTTGCCCGTGGCCTTTTCCCTGAAGTGTTTCTGCTTGGTGAGCAGTGAGTGTCGTGTGGGGGTCTCGGTGAGGAAGATGGAAACTTCAAATTCATCTAGGTTTTGGAAAACCACATGTTAGCTTGGAGCCCTGAGCGTCGAATACGGCTTCCTGGATGCAAAGGCAGCAGCAACATTAAACGAACCATGAACGACGACATCCTTGATGCTCTTCTTCTTGCTGTTCTTCTTTCTTGTGCGCTCGCGCTCCCTCTCTTCGCGCAGTTTGGGCAGGACGAATGGGCGGATGCTCTCGATGACTTTGGGAAGGATGGGATTGCGTGGATTCAGTAGCCAAGTCTGGACCAAGGCTGGGTTGTCGAGGTAGATGCGGCATTCAAGGACTGAGTATTTGGTGATGCGTAGATATCGGCGTATTGGAGCCATTAGTCGTGGTCCGGGACTTGATTCGCCTCTGGGGGGGATTTTTGAGAAGAGTTCGACTTGTATTTCATACGAACGTAGATGCTTGACGAAGATGGTCTCGACGGAAATTACCTACCTCAGGTATGTAAAGGTAAGGTAGGTAAGGTAAGGTAGTTGATTCCGTCAGCACCGATGACGGATGATGATAAGATCTCCGGGTGGGTCCAGGGCCTTATCGCCTTATCTACCTAGACTGTAGTGTACGTACCCCGAGTGTAGGTAGGTACCTAAGGCAGGTATTAAATAGAACGCGCCAGTTGGAGAAACGCGCCTACAACGGTTCCCCACCAAAAATTTGTCCCACTGAACCGACGACATGACAATGGACGGACCGTCTTCGTCTTCGTCTTCGTCTTCGCCTTCGCCTTCGCTGTAACTGGTCCATTGAAGGGCGACTTCAAACTGCTATCCTCCAGGGGAGACCATGTCAAAGTCATGGACGTCGACCTTGAGGCTGCCCAAGTCCCCATTCCCGTAAGCCTGTCCCGAGAGCATGAGAAGACTCGCTCTCCGTCACCGGCGCCTCGCTCTCGACTCGTTTCTGTCTTCTCTGCCTCCTCTGACGTCCATACAGTCCCAGACCTCTTCCACAGTTCCGATCGGAATATCTACGACGATGCACCGATGACTTTTACAAATGGCAACAGGCCAATCGGTCGGCCGATCAGTTTATTCTTCACGACGGCCCTCCCTACGCCAATGGCAGCCTCCATGTCGGACACGCCCTCAATAAGGTCCTCAAGGACATGGTCAACAGGGTCAAGGTTCAGCAGGGCTATCGCGTGCAGTACAGGCCGGGATGGGATTGCCACGGCCTGCCAATCGAACTCAAGGCGTTGGGGGAGTCCCAGGGGAAGGACATGACACCCGTCCAGGTCCGCCAGAGTGCCCGGGAGCTCGCCACAAAGACCCTCTTGGAACAGATGAACAGCTTCCGCTCATACGCCGTCATGGCTGATTGGGACGCCCGGTGGACTACCATGGATCCGGATTTCGAGATCCGCCAGCTGCGTCTGTTTCAGCAAATGGTCCGCGACGGCTTGATCTACCGCAAGCACAAGCCCGTATACTGGTCCCCTTCGTCGAGGACGGCCTTAGCTGAGGCTGAGCTCGAGTACAATGAGAACCACATCTCCACCGCCGCATATATCCGCTTCCCCGTCGCCGACGCGTCTGTACTCCACGAGATACGGAACGCAAGGGGGAACCGTAATGGGGGCATGGGTACTTTATACGCCATCATCTGGACCACTACGCCTTGGACGCTCCCCGCAAATCGGGCGCTCGCCATCCATGACGACCTGGACTATGACGTCGTCGGCATTGGAGCCGATGCCTACATCGTGGCCCAGAGCCGGAGGGAGATCCTTCACACCATTTTCCCAGATGCCCAGCTTGAAACGCTCACCTCGGTCAAAGGATCCGACTTGAAGAAGCTTCAGTACTTCAGTAAGCTGCGAGGCACGGCGGCCCCTCTGCAGCCCGTTATCCACGCCGATTTTGTCTCTGCAGATTCTGGCTCAGGCCTCGTCCACTGTGCTCCTGGTCACGGTTTCGAAGACTACGAAGCATGTACTGCGCTGGGCATCGATGCCGCCGCTCCCATCGACGACGAGGGTCATTTCACCAAGGACGCCTTTCCCGACGCTCCCCAGAGGCTAACGCAGGCCTCGTCCATCCTCAAGGGGGGAAGCAAGGCCGTGCTGAAGCTTCTAGAGGAGCACGCTGACGTCCTGTACTTGGAGAAGTACAAACACAAGTATCCCTATGACTGGCGGACCAAACAACCTGTCGTGATTAGAGCGACCGCGCAGTGGTTTGCCGACGTGGACTGCATCAAGGACAAGGCCCTCGAGGCGCTACGGAGCGTCAAGTTTATCCCGGAGTCGGGCCGCAAGAGGCTGGAAAGCTTCATTGTCGGCCGCAGCGAATGGTGTATATCTCGCCAACGGGCCTGGGGGGTCCCCATCCCTGCCTTATACGACGCAGAGGGCAATGCCGTGGTGACGGATGAGTCGGTAGATCACATTGTCAATGTCATACAAGACCGTGGTATCGACGCCTGGTTCTCCGACGCCCCCGATGAGCCCGCTTGGATAGCCCCCTCCCTCAAGGGCACCTACCGCCGCGGGATGGACACCATGGATGTTTGGTTCGATAGCGGGAGCAGCTGGACATTGACGGAAGGCCAGGCTGATGTCTACTTGGAGGGGTCCGACCAGCATCGGGGATGGTTCCAGTCGAGCCTACTCACCCACGTAGCCGCTCAGAATACCTCCGCCGCCGCATCTGCATCTGGGGATCCAGGGAAGAAGCTTGCCCCGCTCTCCCCCTTCAAATCCCTCATCACTCACGGGTTTACCCTCGACCAAAAGGGACAAAAGATGTCTAAGTCTGTCGGCAACATCGTCTCGCCCAACGAAATCATGAACGGCACCCTGTTGCCCCCCATGAAACTGCGCGGCAAGGACAAGAAGGCGGCCACCGGCCCGACCTACGATGCCCTCGGACCAGACGCCCTGCGCCTCTGGGTCGCCAGCTCCGAGTTCACCAAAGACGTGGCCATCGGCGAGGCAGTCCTAAAGTCCGTTCACACGGTCCTGATCCGGTATCGGACCATCATGCGCATGCTCCTCGGCTCCGTGCACAAGGAGGCACGCACGGCACCCTTGACGGTCCTTGACAGCATCGCTCTCGTGCAACTCTCAAGTGTGATGCGCGAGGTTGGCACCGCACTCGCAAGCCACGAATTCTACAAGGCCATCAGCGCCTTGAATCGGTGGGTCGCCAACGACCTCTCTGCCTTCTACCTCGAGGCGTCCAAGGACCGGTTGTACTGCGGGGACGGCGGCGGCGTCTTGGAGCCCATTTTCCATGGCTTCTTGCGCATGCTTGCCCCCATGACTCCTGTCCTCGTGGAAGAGGCGTGGGAGCATCGCCCGGAATGGATGGCCGCTGATACGTGAGTACCTATCATCTTATGATTCTTCGTCCTTCCTGTGTCGTGCCCGTTCGCTCATCTTCGATAGGAGCCTCGTTCATCCTCTCCACGCTTTGTACGACGCACCGCTATTCGATACGTCCCGCCTGCGCCTCGACGAGGAGACGATCCGTAAAGACGTCCCGACTCTGATGGCCGTCCATTCGGCCGTCAAGGCAGCGCTCGAGCAAGCCCGCCTTGCCAAGGTCCTCGGCTCCTCTCTCCAGAGTGCCGTTGTCGTATCGTGCTCGAACGCATGCGTCAACGAGACACTGGCTCGGTATGCAGACGAGCTGGATGCCATTTTCGTCGTCTCTTCCGTGGACCTAAATGTACCTGTGCCTGAGGGCCCCGAATGGTCCTATGTGCAGGAGTTCGACGTCGACGGCGGTGGCGGTGGCGGTGGCGCGCAAAAGGGAGCCGTTACGGTGCTCCCGCCTCGGCAGCATAAGTGTCCCCGGTGTTGGAGATATCTCGCCGTCGAGGAGGATGCTCTCTGCCAGCGGTGTGATGACACTGTTGCCGGGTTGTGATATCGTTTTTGTAACATTACTTGCCATGTAGAATATGGTGTACTACAGCTGTAGAATAAGAATAAAGACTTGATACCCCTCGAGCAACTTTTACTTTGCGCTGGCATGGGGTTGCTCCGTCATTATGCTGGG